TGGAGGCGTGAAGGGGAGGGGGGGGGGGGGTGGGGAGGCTGGGTTTGCCGCAGTGTAAACCCGCTCTACACCAATTGTGATCGCCTGCCAGAGTTCAGAATTAGTGAAGAATGGGCTGGTGCCCGATCCTCCTGGCACACCCCAGTGTGCACAAGGCAGAAGACTACATATAGGAGCAGTCTTCATACTTTGCGACACCAAAGAGTAGAATCACAAAATCAGGAAAAAGGAGAAAAAGGGAGAACGGGAGATTTTCACAATCGGATATTGAGCACCAAAGGAGTAGATAAGAGTAGTTCTACCCCATTCCCCGGTTCCCTGATTATCATACTGCCAGAATTTCCTAGTGCTACTCTCCCGTCCTTTAGCACACGATCTGCGGTCTCGTTTTTTTCATTTGAGTGTTTTTTTTTTGAAACCTGCGTTAAAACGTCAGGACCTCCTCTTGTGGTTTGCTCCAGAAGTCAATTTCTCATCTCTTATCGTTCTTCAATCAGACAACCTTTACGTTTTGCCTCTATGATATCACCTTTCATGAGTATTCCTTGAGAATCAATTTTTTTTTCGAAAATAGCCATCGTTTTCGACCAACAGCATTCGCCTCTCTAGTTGGCCCCCCTCCACCGAACTCAAGGACTATTTTCTATCACATGTTCAGTTTAACACCACGTTTTCCGTCTTGTTTTTCGTTGTTTGCTGGTCTTACTATCGAATGACGAGAAGAAACCAGTATAGGTAGAGGTGGCAGAATACAGCTTTGCAGGTATAAAACGAACAGGCTCGAAAAACTCGTCCAGAGAAGTTACCAAACCTCTACTTGGCGTGTTCGCCACGGGTTTTTTTTCCACGTTTTTCCTCCCCTGGAGAGTTATCAAGCCACTTTAGATTCGTCAGCGAGCACCACTATCCACAATATACAGTAGCGCAGGTTGGCGTTAATGTCCGCACGCGTGGCGATGGCAACGCGTATCTATCTGATGGCAAACTTACTTACGGAATTTTAAGGTGTTTAAGATTGGTTAATTTGACAAATGGCAAGCGTTGGTTGAGTGCAGTGGGGGTAATGTCGCAATCCTCGAAAGTTGGAACTGTTACGGCATTCGAATGACACCAACACCTGCCCAAACCCGCCTGAAAAGACACTCTTGTGGGAACCATTCGCAATCTATGGTGTACTATTAGAAACCCGAGCAAAAAAATGCACCAGTTCTGACGGCAAACTCACGCTTCATTCATACAGCTGTGAATTCTCCACTGATTTGTTTCAGGATCGTAGACTTCGACGGTTTCGTGGTCGGTGCCCCCGTCTTGTCCCACCCACAGCATATAGCTTTTCATTAACAACGGCTAGTCTTACCTAAAAACGAAACTTCCCTCATACAATCGATATTTTCCTTCTTATGCGGAACAAGCTTGTATGGTGGAAATCGTCATTAGGCTTGACGTTTCGACAATATCGTCGTTTTCAAATGCCTTAGCCAGGGGCTAGCAGATGAAAAAGAAAGTCTAACAAAAAATCACGTCGGCACTTCTATGCTTACCTAGCGGTGAAATTGAGCTTTCCCGCCTTTTGTTAGCTAACTTGTTCTTTTTAGCATATACCTGATTGGCTCTCAGTTCGACGGATATATAGAGCGTGAGAAATTAAACACCGAAAATGGTAAACGACAGCCGTTTTATGCTTAGTTGTCGTTGACCAGATCTTCTTTTCAGCGGTACTATTGTATATTGCGTTGAAGTCCTCCATTATGAACGGTAAATGAACATACAGTTAATTTTCAGCTTTCGCGGGAAAATTATAGTTAGTTTTCAGCTCTGTGCGAAAATTTTCCGTTGTGCTTTGCGCACGCTGCCGTTGCCAACCGTGTAACCTTCAAAAGCAGTTGGCACGATAAATCCTCCAAGACGAGCAGGATAATACGCCTGGCAGGACGGAATTCCGCGACCCTGAGCAGGCGCTGCATAATGCCTTTTCCAAGGGAGGTGCCCTTATAAGGGCCCTATCAAGCCACAACATTCCGACCCAAACGCCCGCCACGCCCGCCCGCCCACAAATGGACGACCGTTCCTGACGCTCGTATTCATTCATTTGCTAAGCAAATTATGAAGCGAAGGGATTGGTATGAAGCGGCCGTGATGCTGCATGGATATATGGGTACACATATGCAGCCGTACCTTCGGTAGCGGTTATTGGCAAGATGCCTACGGGAAACTCGTCCAAAATTGATTACTAACACAGTGAGAACGGAGGCTCTTTTTTCGCAGGATTTTGACCGTTTCACTCCGTTCTTTCGCCATTTCCCCACTATATAGCGCCCTACTAGCATTTTAGGCCGAGCAATGATCATCGTGCCAACTGCCATAAAGATTGGTATGTCTGTGTGACCGCCTTAAAATCTGAAGCCACTTCTCAAGGAACGGACCACGATTAGGATGAATGT